TCTTTCCCTTCCCTCCTCTCGGAATTAAATGAAGGGATGGGGCACGCCAAGAAACTGGAAGAGGAAATAAGCCTTGTTTATAAGGTTTTGATTTAGGGGTAGAATAGAATTTCACATAAAAGCTAATACTTTTTGACAGAAAGTCTAATACATGCTCATTTGCTGGGATCGAGTACAGCAGTCTCATTTCAATGTTGGAGCGAGAGGTAAAGCTCCCCTCACTCTATATCCCTTCAAACAATGGAGGAACAGCTAAATCCCTCTCTCATGAGCTAGGAGAATGAAAATTAGCAAGTTTTGGACTGTTATGCAAGTGGTGTGGAAGATGAGAGGTGTTACTGACCGAAGCAGAAGGGAATGAGAATTGCAGATACTGTGTTCACAGGTTTTCAGCTTGAGCATTGGCGATCATTTGGGAGGAAGAAACTGGTAATATGCGATGCACATGTCAACAAACTTCCATTTATTAAGGTAGGGCAAAGATGGTTCTGATTATATTCACCATACAGCATGGGATGTGTGGCATCCCAATATTTAATTCCTTTGAATTTCTTCTCATTTTAACAAGGTTTTCTTGGGACAAACACTGTGTTAGTCTTCAGCTAAAATGAATTGGGACTAACCACTACATCTAAATACCAGTTGTTTAGCAGTCTTTACTCATTTTAGCATTAAAGTGGGTAGTTATGAGAAGTGGATTGGTGGGCTCAGTGATGAGTCTATAAATACCTGAGTTAAATGTAAAACACTTGCCTTTTCACTTGCTGTAGGTGGATGGTCAGAACTCTTCTTCCTGTTAATAGAGCAAATAAAGAAAGATTAGCTGTTTGATGTCTCTGCTTATACTTTTACTTTCAAGAATAACTTATTTTAGCACAGATTTGTCCACTGTACATAGAAACTCATCTTGACTTCCAGTGTATAACAGTCATTATCTTGCAGAAAGATTAACAACAAGACTTGGCAATCAGCAAACACTGAGTTTGGGAACCCACTGAATTTCAGAATAGAGTGTTTGGCAATTGGATTTTTCATACTCTTAAAATTCAGATCAGAGCATCTCAGTTAAGGATAGAAACTTAACCATTTTTAGTGATTACAATTAACCAGCTCAGTGATGGAAGAAGGGGGGAAATTTTTGCTAAAAAGAATATTCTTTTTCAGAGGCACAAAATAATAGCAACATTTTCTATTCTATACTAAGGGCATGTTCTTTGCCACTTGTCCACTACGATACCTGTAATAAATACTCTGAAAGCAGCTATGCAGCCAAGTCATTACACCAAACTAGCTTTTACTAGCTTATCATATGAAGTCTCATACATGTGCTGCATATGCAGTTTGTAACAACTGAAAATAATTTCCAAGAAGCTTTTTAAAGTAATTTTTAAAGATAAATTAATAAATTACTTGTTTCTTTTTTTTTACCCACATGTGATGATGCAAGCTATAAAAACTGAACTTAGCAAGCCAGAAAAAAATGCCAACCTCCATTCTAGCACAGAATTTTAGCTCCATATGTGGATATATAACTCAGACTGTCTCATAAAATAGATTGGCAATTGTCAATTTCTCAAAACACATAGTCTGGTATATTTCCTAGGGAAACACTGAGGAATATTATTTCATCCTGGTTCACAACTAATTTTCAGACAGAAAACGCAGATGCAGATTTGGGTACCAATTTTTGACCTAGCTAATTAGCTACTAGGCATAAAGGCAGACCAATTTGTATGTCTGCATCTGAATCGGGGAGCTGAATTATAATCCTGAAAGTTTACTTCTACGTGTTTCACAATAGTGTTTGGCTCATTTATTACAGCCAGTCTGAAGTTTGTCTACAGATTATTAGAAAACATACTGAGAAAAATCCACACTCCCAAGAGAAAGGAGCAACCTGGAGAATACTTTAGAGCAAATAATTAAAAGTAAGATTCAGAAAATCTCACACAACCATGTCTTAGGAGCTCACAGAAAACCCTTCCTCCCACCCAAAAAATAAATCACATTTTGTACATCATCAGAAGTAGAAATGAACTTAACCCTTCCATTACTAAAAGTGATATGCAAGAGAATGAACAAACAAATGAACATCAAGTAATTATACTTACCCGGAAGAGCTTTCTTCTGGGGGCAGAGGGGGAAAGAAAAAGAAATATCTTTTTAATGTAAAATCACTTTCCCAGCTGACAAACATCATTTGATATATCTGCTGTGGACTGCTGATTCTTGCCCTTCCTTTTCCCTTAATTTCTGGCAGCACAAATTAAATTTAGCTTCTCACTTGTGGGTGAGCAAATGACAGACTCTTGCATTAGCCCATCACGACACTGTTCCAAAGCTGGACAACTCCCCTCTAAAGTTACTGATTTATTTCTGAAAGCTTTCAGCTGCTTGTTTCCCTGAATCTGATTGCAAAAAAAAAAAAAATCAGCCTGCCACCCTAAAGCAGGAATTTAATATTATCTTTCAGACACAGGTTAATTTTCATGCATCAATGTCTGCCTGCTGTATTATACTCTATGGCCTCTAATGTCAATAGCAAAAGAAGACTGCCCTCCAATGCCTGCAACTAGCTATATAATAAAATTCAATAAAAGCAAAAATTTTCTTGACACGCATTTTTATTACTGCCCAGCAGATGGAGCCAGCAAGTCCATCTTTATCCAAATGCAAGGGTGAATCTGCAGATTTGTCTGCAGGCCAAACTCCCCAGAGGTGCTCTCATACCCACAATGGCACTCTCTCCTTCCATGACATACTTGGTGTATAACTTCTTTCTTCAGTGAGAGACTTTGTACCTAAGTAGTCACCCAGGTTAGATTCTGCCTCTGTTGAAGTCAGAGTTAATTTTCTTCAGTGACTGACTAAGCTCAGTTCCTGAGCATTGGGGAAAGCCATCAGTAAAGATTTAACACTTTCTAATATTCCTGAACATTCTCATCTTTGCATAAGAAAGAAGCTTCAACTGCCTGAATTCCTGTTCAGTAGTCATATGAAACTAAGCTTGGCAATTCCATCTCTTTTTCTATTGCAAAAACCAAACTGGGAATGATAAAAATAAGTAGGCAGAACAATTAAATATAGATGAGCTCCTCCACTTTCAATAGCAATGCTCTTCTTAACTTTAATGGTGCAAAATCACACCCTACAAGAATAGACTTTTCTTGACTACCGGCTATTTTTTTCCTGATTACAGTCAGTAGAAATATTTAAACATAGCAAACCTTCTGATGTTCATAACACAAGAAAGATTTCATTTTACTTACTTGAAAAGTAGCCCTTTCTTTGTGCATGAAATACCCCAAGTCCACATAATGCCATTATCAGAGCCACAATTACTACAGCAGCTATGATTCCGCTTACATTAAGGTCGTCTATAATTAAGAACAACGAATCCAGTGTTAAAAAATAATCTTGCCAAAGTAGCTATTTTACACGGTAAGAATTCCTGGCAGCAGAGGCCCTGATAACTATAGAAAACAATATGTAGATGACTGGGACATATAAGTTATCAGCAACCCAAAATGTTGACAGAAGAAGTATTTGCTGCATCGCAACTACACACACATAGCAAAAGCCACAGTTACCAGGAGTCTTTTTGATACATCTTGTATTAACAGGAGCCAAAGAGTAAAATCTGGATAGAGACAAGGAGGTATTTTTTCTTCAAAAGAAAGTCTAACCCAATTTACACACACACACACACACACACACACACACACACACACACACACACACACACACACCAGAAGGAGAGTATATCCTGAAGCCTGTAAATGGAAACAGCTGCTCCAAGTAGATTTTTTTAAAAACTAGTTTGATTAAAATAGTATTAACATACCAGCTGATCAAAGTGTTGGGACAGAATTACATTTGTGCCACTAGGAACCTTACATGTGGGCGAACAGTATTTACTGCCCCAGGGCTTCTGACATGCGTAGAAGAGAGGTTTTTTAATAATGAAAACATCAAGGCCAAAACTTTCCATCCCCCATGCCTAAAGTTATACTCCCAGAACCACATTTGGCCACTTAAGTAGAAGAAGCCATATTTTTCAGGTGATGAGCAATCCTTAGTCCCACTAATTAAGGAGAGCTAAAGAGACATAGCACCTCTTTAAAAAAAAAAAAAAAAAAAAAATCAAGTGACTTCTAGTGAAGTACTTTTTATTTCAAGGCCTGACTTCAGGCATGCACATTTGAAAATTTTAGCTCGAAAGCTTATCATTGCTCATCTCAAGACACACCAAAGTTTAACTTGGATTAATGTTTGCCTAGTAGAGGAAGTCTTTCTTTATAAAATATAGTATTTGCTCAAATGTACTAGAAGTGGCTTAAAGACCCGAATAAAAAACAACTTTCCATTCAGTTCAGTGGGCTTTCAGCCAGGCCCTGAGTGTAAGAGATGTAAAGAACTATTTAAAAGGTTCCTGGCAAAATGCATCAACTTTCCATTGTTGATTATAATCCTTTTGGAAACCTAAAATATTTCCTTACTAACTTCTCTCTATCACGTGGACAGCACTTATTAGTATTTTGCAGAGGTAGTCATAAATGCTGGCCTCCTGGCACAGATTTTTTTTTCTTAAGGGAAAAGACATAGTTGTACTTGTTTACAGAACAAAGTCTACATCCAACAAGTTACATGGATATTGTAGACTTGATAAGAACCAGAAAGCACAACATTTTTTTTGGTCTATCAAATTTGACAGTGTTCCCGTAAACAGATATAAATGTTACTTTTATTTATTTACTGTAGTTCTGTGTTACTGTTTTCTGATAAGAAATACTTTTTTTTAAACTTGCTACATTAAAGGTCTTTTTATAAAAGCATCTCAAAAGGAAAATATCTGTAAACCAAGACTTGCAGATAATGCTTTATCGTGTCTGCAAAAATACTCTTAAATGTTAATATATCCACAGAAGGCACTGTTGTTCTGTGACGTTAATGCATAATAATCTTCTGGATGTTGGCCACTTGATCATTCTAAAGCACTCCCCACTAGCCAGCCTTTGGTAAAATTCGTAAATACAATCTTCTGTACTGGTGCTTTTAAAGTGGAAAAATATAAACATACAAAATGCCTCTCTAAATGGCACTCATAACAAACATCACATAACTGCCTTTCATTCTAGTACTAGGTGGACTTAATAATAAAAATATGTAATTTCAACCCTATCTTAGCTTTTTCTCACATGTAATGTACAACAGAATATTTCCTGTCAGAAGGTTTGTTGGCCTTGGTTTGCTTTTGACACTTACCCACTTGCATTCGCTTCACAGAGCACTTCTGGGGAAGTCCGACTCCATTAAAAGCTTCACAATAATATTCTCCAGTGTCCGTCTTTGAAACGGTGTTAAACAACTTTTAAAATAGAAAAAGCAAAAGCAGAAGAGGCATAGTTAACAAAAGGGATAAGGAAAATGCAGTTTCCTGCAGGATGAAATTCTGACCCATCTATGTTTATTTTTATCCCAAATTAGACAAAAATCAGGGCAGCAGCTTTTAACTTTTGACTCAGGGGTTTGAATCAGTGTCTTCCTCATCTTAGATCAGCTCCTAAACAGATACCCCACTATCTGCCTCTGCTAAGTTAAGAGTTAATTTCCTTCAATATTCCAGTCAGTGGTTAGCCAAGGTCAGTTTATGAGCCCCCAGCCACAAAATGTTTTAGTCTTCATTCAGCATTTCCCAACGATAAACATTCCATGAAAAAAATCCTGAAACTTTTCAGTTTCAGCATTCCCCAAATAGAAAGGTTTAATTCCATTTTATGGATTTTACCCCAAAATGAAGTGTTTCATATTTTTGGCAAATCAGTATTTTCTGGTGAAAAAATGTCAGCTTTACAGAAGCTACACTTTCCACCAGAAATTTATCGTAAAGGAAAAATCCCCAACCAGCTCTAGTTATCAAATACTATCAGTAGGTTGGTTAGAGCTAGAGAATAAAGGAAAGGGACCCAGCACTGACATCATCTAGACCAGTGGTTCTCAATGTTTTTTGTACCAGAACCCATTTGTAAACATAGATGGCCAGTCCCGACCTAGTGCCCCTCACTCCTGACCTGCTGCCCCCAGGCCCCAGCCCTCCAGTGTATGGGGCAGAGGGGTGTGTGGGGATTGGAGGCCCCAAGCAGCCCCTCGCAGGCTGGACCTCTGTCGGCCTGCAAGGGAAAAGCCATAGTTTCCCACTTTTTTCTCCTTTAAAAGAGAATCAATTTTTGAAGTTTGACACATTTTTTTAATTTGTTTGTGACCCTTTAATATATTCTTGCAACCCACAGGTTGAGAAACTCTGATCTAGACCAGACAGGGTTGGCAATCCATGGTGCCTGGGCCAAATCTGGCCCATGGAGTCATTGGATTTGGCTTGTGAACATTGTGCTTTGGCAGCAGTTGCTCTCCCCATTAAGCTGCAGGGAGAAGCAACAGCAGCAGGGTCCTAGTATCCATCTTCATGTCTACCCACCTCTGATCGAGGCTGATTCATTCTGGCCTGTCACTTGAAAAGATTACTGACCTTTGATTACACAATCAGTTCTCAAAATTATTGGTTATTTTATTCTTTTTATAAAATGAAGTATGCTGGTACTGATGTCAGTTTCATATGATAAATGTCAAGAAAGGGAGAGGTAGCTTTGATAGATAATCTTAACCTGAAATTAATGACCTTGGTGATTTAAAAACTGTTTCTGTCTGAGAGCCACAACACTGACATGTTCTCAAGTTGTCCACTAGCATATGTAGCAAGTCTCAAAGCTTTTGTGCATTTGTGTGGGGTTATTTGCAGCTTCTCTTTCTCTATAAAACAAACCCATATCATTGTATTTGTAATAAATCTTGTTAGGTTTTCCCCTACTCATTCTATACCTAAAGATGGTAAGGGAGAGCTATGCAAAGTCAAGATTTATAAAATACACTAATACTTCTAGATACCCAGCTCAATGCACCTTAAAGAACCCTCATTATCAGACAGGCTTCTGGTCATCTACCCTCTAGAACAGAGGCGTCAAACATGGCCTATGGACTGGATCTGGCACATGGAGTCCTGCCACCTGGTTCCTGGTGCTACCCCTGGGTCCAAGAAGACCCCAACAGGGCATGGTATGTGCTGGACTAGCCCCAGGGGTAGGGCCTGGGACACACCCCACACAGTGCCTGCCCCAGATGCTCTAAGGCTGCATCACATGGGTGGGTGCATGCAGCACAGATCCCACAGCAACCAGAATAGGTGATACATATGGCAGAGTCTGGCTGGGGGCTCTAATGTGGATCTTGGACAGGCCACAGAAGGCACCATCCTACAAGCAGTACCTGCTCGGGCTAGACTGTATGACATGGTGCCAGCTCTGGGATGCACACTGTACATGGTGCCTGCCCCAGCAACTCCAGGACTGTGCGACACATGTAAGCTCCAACTCCATGGGTGCTTTGGGGCTCTAGCACCCATCCAAAAACTTAGTGGGTGCTCAGCACCCACAACCCATGGCTGTGTTGGTGCTTGCAGATGTTAAAAACAAACCAACAAAACCAACCAACCAACCAACCAACCAAACCATGCTTTGCCAGAAGCAGCAGCACCTTACTTCAATCTGGCTCTGTAGCATCTGTAAAGAATGGGTGCTTCAGCAGGGCTTTTTGGCACTTTTAGCTAAAGTAGATTTATCAGCTATTAGATAAAAGTGCCAAAAAAGCCCCACTAAAGCGCCCAATCATTACAGATGCTGTGGGCTGAAGTAATGCACTCTCTCTTCTGGGTATGTATCGGGCTTGGTGCGAGAATGCACCAAGTTTAAAAGTAAAGCACCATTTTTGGCAGGGGGGAGGGGTATTGCTGGGAGGGGGGGTGTTGTTTTTTTACATCTGCAAGCACACACTGGCAAAAAACAAAGTCAGCACCTATGACCATATGTGATGCCTGATCCAGCCAGTCCAGGACCCAGGCTGCGTGCAACTCTGACAAGCACTGCATGCATCATAGGTCCAGGGCAAACTGAAGTGGGCACCATGGTGGCCACCTCATATGATGCATTCTGGCCAGGGAAGGCACTGCATGCAGCATGGCACCTGGTCCAGCTGCTCCAAGTTCTACACTACATAGAACAGGGGCGGGCAATTATTTTGGGCAGAGGGCCGTTTACCCATTTTGGCAGGGCGATTATTTTGTCAAGGGCCTCATGAGTAGCCCCGCCCCTTGACAGGTGCCCTTCCCACTGGTCACCATCTTGGGACCAATGTCCCAATGTCTTGGGACCAATGTCCCAGGGCCAGCACCAGTGGTGCCCAAAGCGGGGCACAGGCCGGCAGGGGTCTGTGAAGCCAGGCTGGGCTGCACCAGCAGGGAGAGGGGGGAGCTGACTCAGCTCCATAGAGCCGGCTGGGACCCTGGACTCCTGCTACCCTGCTCTGGGCCCTGCCGGCACTAGCCCTGGGACACCGGTGTGGGCCCCATGCTCCCACTGGCTCCCCGCCCACTCACTCCCAGTGCCCCCTAGCCCCACTGTACAGGCAGGGGGACAGCACACAGCCCCTACCTCCTGCTTGCTGGCAGGGAAGAAGCTGGTGCTGAGCACGGGAAAAAGCGGCCCCTCGCTTGCCCCGTGACCCTGCTGCAGGCGCTCACAGCCCGTGCAGGGCTGTCTGGAGCAAGCACAGGCAGCCCCACGTGGACTGCAAGCAGCTACAGCGTGGGACGCTGACCATGGGGCAAGCGAGGGGCCGCTTTTCTCCGCACTCAGCACCAGCTTGTCACTGCGGACAGCCTGGGCTCCAAGCTGGCTCCGGGCTCGCCCATTGGTGGCAGCAGCTGCAGCCCCCCAACTTGCCATGCCAGGCAACGCTGGCTGCTGCTAGGCGCCCAGAGCTCATGTGCTGAGCAGCCCACAAGCGGCAGTGGCAAACACTGCCCAGCTCGGCAACTGGAGGGGGCCGCAGCTGCTGCTGCCATGTACAGCCCTGACAGGTGAGCTCGGAGCTGGCGCAGGGCCCAGGCTGGCAGTGGGGGCGGGTTACAAGCTGGCACTGAGCATGGGGGGAAAAGCAGCCCCATGGCCGGCGCTCCCTGCTGCAGCCGCTCGCAGCCTGCCTGGAACTGCCTGTGCCTGCTCCGGACAGCCCTGTGCGGGCTGCAAATGGCTGCAGCAAGGAGGGCCTGCCATGGGGCAGGGGAGGGGCTGCTTTTTCCCCAGGCTTGGCTTCTCTCTGGGCTCCTTCCCCTCCCCCCCCACCCCCAATGGTCCCACTGGGCTTCCCCTGGGCCCTACTGCCCCTGGTTCCTGTCAAATGACAAGAACCAAAGACAAATTAATATTTAATTTTTCTAAATTTTTTTTAGGGGCCCCGCAGGAGAATGGCCTGCATCTGGCCCGTGGGCTGTATTTTTGTCTACCCCTGCTCAAATTGGTATAAACACTTCAGGAAACAGACCTGTCTTTAAAGATCTGCAATGGTCAAAACAATGAGTCAATGTCCCAGTTTGATTATCTTGCCTGGGAACAGAGGGGATCCCCTTTAGTAAACCATATCAGGGTGGGGGGGGAGGGGGGGAACCCAATGCCCTTTCATAGTGATGGGATGGTTTAGTCCAAGTTCACTTAAACATCAGTTCTGTGCTTAACAGCCATCAGAAAGGCAAACAAAATGTTAGGGATGATTAAGAAGGTGGTTGAAATGAAACAAAGCATTGTGATGTTCCTTTTATAAATCCATGGGGCGTCCACATTTAACAGGGGGCCTGCTCGGGGCTGATTTCACTGTGGTCCGCCCTTCCTGTTTCTGGGCTAACTGCCCACCTTCTCGCCCACCACACCTTGTTGGTAACTAATTAATAGATGTTAATCAAGCGGGAGACTGCCCATTACTCTGCCCCAGTGCCAGGGGGCACTCGCAGTCACCGGCCCCATGCTGGACCCCATAATCCTAGTGTTGAACCCCTCCATGATCCCTCCATTCTGGAGGCCTAATCTGCCTTCATTCTGGGCAGCATCGGTACCTGAACTGCTTCCCCTTCCAGGTGTAGTCCCCCCAGGACTTTTGGCTCACTAGCCCTGGCCCACCTGCAAGCCAGCTGGAACCCATGCCCTCAGCTCTTGGGCGTTCCTCATGGTGGGCCTTTGGCCCTCTGACCCTTCTGGGCCTGGCCCCAGCATTGACCAGTCTGGGGAAGTCCAGACAGGCATGTCTGTCTGTCTGTCTTGGGGTCCACCCTCCAGACCCTACAAAAAGGG